AGTGGGGCTATTTAACATTCCTTGTGGAAGAACCTTCCATTGATATCGTTCCGCTGGTTCTTTTAAATTTACACTGGCAATAGTGAAAGCAAAACGGGGACAGTCTTCCTTAGCAAGTGGTGTAGTATAAAAGCAATCTTGTATATCTGTGATAATTATTGGCTATTCGCATGGGACTAGATTAGGTGAAGGCAATCCAGGTTGGAGAGACCCCATGGGTTGGCGAGCAGAATTAACCTCATCCAAGTCTGTTAAAAGTCTCCATTTTCCTGATTTTTTCTTAGTAACAAAAACTGGTGAATTCCAAGGACTGTGAGATTCTTCAATATGTCCCTTTATCTGTTCCTCCACTAAGGTTTGCAAAGTAGTAATTTCTCTCTGTTAAGGGACACTGCTGCACCCAAATGGGTTTGTCCTTCTTCCAATTTAACTTAATGGGTTCAGGAGCAGCGGCCCTCAGTGAAAAATCTGGGGATCTTCCTTAAGGGAAGGTATAACCAGAGAGGCTTCCCACTGACTTAGTAAATCTCACCCCCAAAGGTTAATGGGCAAATCTACAATATATGGCTGTAGATAACCCTTTTGACCCTCAGGTCCGTCACAGAAAAGAATATTGAAGCTTTGACGTGCATTGCCAGCCTGGCCTAATCCTGTAATAGTAACAGGAGAGGAATTATATGGCCATTTTTTAGGCCAATGTAATGAGCTTATTATAGAGACATCAGCTCCAGTATCAATTAGACCTGAAAATTCCTTTCCTTGTATTTCAAGATGACACATTGGTCTATCTTGATAAATTTTCTCAGTTAAATATGCTCCAGTTTTTCCAGTACTTCCAAACCCATTGGAGTTTATTTTTAGATTGACCCTGGAGATAGGATTAAAGTAACAACTGGGCAATACAGTCTCCTTTTTGAAAATGGTATGGAGCCACAGTAGTTAACATCACTGAAATTTCACCAGTATAATCTGATAATCAATAATGCCAGTGTGAACTAGTACTCCCTTTGAAGGAAGGCTAGATCTCCCCAAAAGTAACCCAGTGGTCCCCTTTGGTAAAGGGCCATAAATATTAGTTGGAATTTTAATGGGAAGCTTGGTAGGCATTAAAAGATCATCTTTGGGAATGGGGCTATCTAATCCAGCACTACCAGTTGTGGCATGTAATATTTTTAAAATGGTACACTCGTCTGAAAGCTGGGTGTTATGGGAGCATTGGCCCTCTTGTTTTTCGGGGCTGAGGGCTTGCCCCGAAATAAGTTTCCCTGAAGGGGGGAATTCATCCTTGCTAACTCTGGAACGACACTGACTTGCCCAATGATTTCCCTTTTTACATTTGGGACAGAGACCGAGTGTTTTATTTTTTATATTTTGCAGAGGGAATTTTCCTTTTTGCCTACACTGAGCTTTAGTATGCCCTACTTGCCCACATTTGAAACACTGTCCTTTAAATTTTCCTGTGGTCAGAGCAGCCATTGCTTGAGCTAACAAATCAGCTTCACAGGTCTCTGTTCCTACTCCTCGGCACAGCTTACTATAATCTGTCAATGTTCCCTTGCCTTTAAAGGGTGATATCAGTTTCTTACAATCAGCGTTAGCATTCTCATAAGCCAACAGCTGAAGAATGGTATCCGCAGCCTCAAGATTATTTATCTGTCTTTTGACAGCCTCTTGTAATCTTGCAGTAAAATCAGTATAGGTTTCTTTTGGACCTTGTATCACCTTTTGAAAAGAAGAGCACTTCTCTCCTTGGGAATCTATTCTCTCCCAGGCTCTTAAACAGCAATGCCGGAGCTGCTCAATAGCTTGATCATTCATTAATACCTGGTCTTGCATCCGGGCCCATGGCCCAGTACCCATGAGCTGTTCCATGGAAATACGAACATTACGAGCTCTGTTATGGGCAGCTCCTGGTTTTTTTTTTTTTTTTTTTTAAGATTTAATTTATTTATTTGACAGACAGGCAGGCAGAGAGAGAGGAGGGGGGAAGCAGACTCCCCGCTGATCAGGGAGTCCCATGCGGGGCTCGATCCCAGGACCCTGAGATCATGACCTGAGCCGAAGGCAGAGGCCCAACCCACTGAGCCCCCAGGCGCCTGGCAGCTGCTGTTTCTCCACGATCTTGCCACCACGTTTTGAATTGCAACAACTCACTTGGAGATAGAACTGTTCTTGCGAGCAATGACCAATCCATCGGAATAAGTCGATTGCCTTCTGCGACGCCTTAAATGATTCCCGTTGTAAATGGAGAATTAACTCCATAGTTTTGTACTGCTTGTTTTAGCTCCTTCAGTAATTTGAAGGGAAATGGCTCATGCTTGGCCTCATAGACACCATTAAGGTTGTTAGGATCATGTCCTGGAGCGACATGTTCTGTAATAATAACCAGGAAATTAAAATGCAAGGCATCTAGGTCTCCCGCTCGCTGTGCTTCAAGGAGGCCTTTCTGAATAGCTGATAGCATGTATTTTTCCTCTCTTTCACTAAATGGTGCCTTCTTATAGGACAGTGGAGCCGATGGCAACAGTGCCATGGGCATCTCTTGTTCTGTTATTGGAGGAGAAGGAGATTCCTCCTTTATATATTCCTTTCTGATGGCCTTAGTAATTTCTTTCTCCTTCTGAATGGCATGTTCAGGATCCTCTTTTTTAGTTTCTCCTGAACATTCATTATTGCTCTCTGAATCAGCAGTTTGTAAAGGCTCCAAAACGGAGCGAATGAGGGTCCAAGTAGGGCACATAGTAATTGGAATTGGTTTTCCTTTGGTATATAAGTTTTAACTCATAACCTACTTTTTCCATGTTTGCTAATCTAAAGTCCCTAATATAGGGAACCAGGAGCAATGTTCTTTAATTACCTTTAAAAGCTCCATGAGTTGGCCCTCGCTGACTTTTGGCCCTCGCTGACTTTCGCTCCTCCCGCCTTTAGGAGCCGTCTCAGTAAGCAAACGTAAGGGCGATAATCATTTGTGCTCTCTAGACTACCCATCCCTGCTGTAAGTACCCACAACTCACCAGCGGGGGAAAAAGGCACGGCCGGGCAAAAACTCACGTTGGGGCAGCTTCTCCTGTTTCAAGTCCCTGTTCAGGCGCCACTTGCCGCTTCCAGTGGGAGAAGAATTAGGCACAAACAAGTCAGGGCAAGAGAAAGGGAGCAGGGGACGACAGTCAGAGAGACTGCTACCACGGGCAACCCCTCAGTCTGGCTTTTATTAGATAGAAACAATAACCCACAGAAGAGCCGAGGCAGTTAGTCACACGTCTTGTGGACAAACAAGAAGGAGGGTAAAGTTTATAGTTAACCAAGCACCTTCAAAGGACTCATCTAACTAACAGCCGGCGCTTTTGGGAGGAGAAAGGAGCGATAACGGAAAAGGGAAGCAGGCGGTGCCTGCGAGCGCCGGGAGTGGCAGGCGTTCCCAGCTGCTCCGCTTTAAGGTCGTTTATCGTCCTCTCCCTCAAAGGCCTACTGCCAGTCTGTGTTTTTCTTCAAGCTGTATCTAAGCGTGCTTGGTAACTAGTAAAATCTTCCAGGGGTTATAGTTTAAGTGATACATTGTTCTGAGGGGCAGCTGCATCAGGGGAAAAGGAAAGAATTGCCACCAGCGGGGCTTGGTGAATCCTCAGACCCGGTGGGTCGCAGTTCGGCAGAGCCACCTCGGAGTACCAGGGTTTCAGTGGGACTTCACACCAAAGACCTTCCTCTTGCTTCACCTCTCCCCCTCATGCTTTCCCTTGCATTTTGAACCCTAACAGGCTAACAGTCCCGTCAGTGAAATGCCCAAGCAGAAAACGAGGGTTACAATGTTTCTGAACCGGGCGATGCTCCCACCTGGGGTACACACGACCCCGCCCTTCCCAAACTGCCAACACGGCGGCCCCTGCTCTAGATGCTGGACGGCAGCTGCCCGGCCGAAAACGCTCAGCCTCCGCGGGCTGGGACAGGAGCCACTCAGTGTCACACCATCCTCGGCCGAACCAGAGGCATCTGTGGGAAGCACCCTTCAAAGCCCTTACCCTGTCTTCCGAGGGCCTGGAGACCGTGCGGCAGGAACGCAGGCACGGCCACTTTCTACCTTCAGTCCTGTCCCCATCCTACCTGTGCACTTAGACCCGACCCCAAATCCCTCCTCTCCTGTCCTTGCCCCTCGCTGTCTCTTCTCTCCTCCATCAGCTTCATGTGTGTCCCGCCGGGCGCCCGGCCCCTGTCCCTTCTCTAGCCCTCCCCGATGGCCCCCTCCTCGCTCCTCTTTTTCCAGGGACTTGCCTTTCCCGACGCAGGCCCCCCGCCCTCTCCTCCCCGGCCCCTCTCCTGCCAGAAGGCTTAAGATTTTCTCCAAAATTCCTGTGTAGGTTCACAGCTGCACCCAGGCTTGCCTGGATTGGGGAAATGGCGACTTTGCGCTTCGGGGCCTGATGACATCTGCGGGCCGGTGCCGGGGACACTGCTTCCAGCGGCGCTGTGCTTCCCCCGTGCGCGAGCAGCTCGGTCTGAGGCGCTGTAGCCACGGGGGCGTCCGCGTTTGTCGCCGTCGTCCGCCTCGCGGGTACTGTCTTCCGAAGCCGAGCGGCCGCCTGAACTGGCTGCGGTCGCGTCCCCCACGCGGGGCGCCAGAGCGGCCGCCGGGACACGCGCGTGCGGCTCATTTCGGGCCCCGGACAGCGAGTTAAATACGTTCTGTCGGGCGGCTCCGCGGCGCTCACTACTCACTACCTTGGGCGGTGCGAGCAGCTGCGTGGGCGCGGCGGGACGTTTCTGAGAATCGAGGACCCGAGGACCGACACGGGTTCCCCGCTCGTGGCGGCGGGAGCTGGCGGGACCCGCAGCGGACGGAGGGCAGCCCGGGATGGGAAGAGCCGAGCGCGGGGCGCACTCCCGCCTCTTCGAGCGCCCCTGGGTGACCCTGTGGGCTCAGACTTCGGGGATGGAGGCGAGCACGACAGCCCCCGACGCGGCTCTGGATAAACTCCGGGCGGCACGCCCCGGGGGCCTCCGTCCGCGGGGGTGTAGCTCAGTGGGAGAGCGAGTGCTTAGCATGCACGAGGCCCCGGGTTCGATCCCCGGCACCTCCACCGCCTTGCGGCCTCGCCCCCGGTGCGGGTGAAGAGGGGTGGTCCGGCCTTGCGCTTTTCCTTTAAGTTACTGGTGGTCTGGCGCTGAACCACTTACACCGTGGCCCTGCCGCACCTCGGATCTCCCCACCGGCTGCCCCGCACAGCGAAGCCAGAAAGAGCCCGCTCCCCCGAAGCACGGTCCGAGGACGGCCGGTTATGCTTCGCGGCTGCTTCTACCGAGAAGTGGGCGAAGGGGCGGCGGGAGGAGGCCCTCGGGAAAATTCCTTTAGATCCCCCACCCCTGTCCCTCGGCTGCGCCCGGGTCGGTGCCCCGCCTGCTGCTCCGGAGACCTCGTCCCGCCCGCACTCGCCCCTGCACCCCGACTCCGTCCCCGCGCTCGCGCCGCGGCAGGCCCGCGCAGTCACCCGGCCGGAGCGCTGCGGTCCCGGCTTCTTCCTGGGAAGAGGTGTTCAGTGTCCGGCCCAAGCGCTCGCCATGCCGCTCGGAGGCTTCCAAGGCCCCTTGTCTAAACTCGGATTTCCAGAGGAGCCGGAGCAGCGGGCGGCCCTCAGAGCCCAGCCCCGCAGGTTTCAGGAGTCCCCAGGAGCGCGGGGGCGCTGCGCCTTCCCGTGGAACGAATGCTTTGAAGCCCCCTTTCCGTAGGAGGAGGAGAACCTTCTGGTCTCCTAACCCCCCCGGTGGAACCGGAGACAGAGAAACGCCCGCCCGAATTGCGGGAAGTTCCCGCGCGGGTGAGGATCCGCGGGGGCCCCGCGCGCCTTCCTCGCGGCTCCTGCCGGGTCCTCCTCTTCTAACCCCTTCTTCACCACGTCCTGTGTCGCCTCCTCCACTCCCCACCTCTCCCCTCCCGGAGCCAACTGAGCCTCGCCCTGTGATTCGAGGGAGAGGAGGGGAGGCGACTGGGGAACCGGAGAGGTGATGGAGAACTTACTGGGATATTCGGGAAGGTACAGGTTTCGCACCGGGAGAAAAGTATCCGAGTGGAAACTGAGACAATACAATCGTTTATGGTTACCCCCCCCCCCCCCACACACACACTCATATTTGGTCACTACCAATTTTGCCAACAGGAGGGAATCTCTATTCTTTGCGCCCCGGTGATGGCTGAGCTTGGAGGCGCGCCTCCCAGCCGGGGTTGGGGTGCGGAGGTTGTTATGAATGGAAAGTGCTTCTGGGAACCGCTTCTTGCTCTGCCTCTAGAAGGCCTCCCTGTACTTCTCTGTGGGTCCTGGAGACAGAAGGTAGAGTCCTCCAGGCGAAACCACTGCCCGGTTTCGGAACATGCTGCTGGGCTCCAGACTTTGCTATAGCAACCACTGACGACACACAATTACTGTTTTTTATTTGGGATGTTTCCTTTTCCCATCTGGATCTAACTTTCCAGAGACAATCTTTCTGGTTCTGTTTTTTTCAGGCCCTTCCTCTAGCATTTCCTGCTGGAGGGGACAGCCCGTAGGGCTGGAGGAGCAGAGACCCCCGTGGAATGAGGTAGGAAACCCGTGACACCGCACCACTAGCTCTAGAAGGAGCGACACATTCGGAGCCCCAGCCTTCAGCCCCCTGAGTCACGGTGGGCCATGCTCTGAGGGTCTAGGGCTCAGCTACTGCCTTCCCCTGGAGAAACATATCCCACATATGGGTGCCCTTGCCGGTTATGTGGCCAGAGTTCCATTGCTTTATGGCGACTTCTTACCTCTCATCGCTTTTAACAGCTGCTTGGGAGAGTTTCTGAGAGATTCTTCAGGGCTCCATGCGAGATACAGCCAGGCCGCAAAGAGCAAGGGGAAGATCACGCTGGAGAATGGGTGCTTGCCAAAATGGAAGAGGGGGGTCCAAGCTGTTTACCACTGCTGATGACTCTGCGTCCCAGTCAGGAGGCAAGAGAGTGAGCATCAGAGGGAAGGAAAGCTCATTCCCTTAGCTTTTGCGCTGAAATAATTTAGGCAGCAGTGTGACTACAACACACCTGGACCGAGGTAGCCGGAGATGGCCAGCTGGCGAAGGGGCTGTCTGGGGCTTGAGTCCTCAAGGAGATGGAGCTTGTGATGGATCCCTGTTGCCTCTCCTGATCTCAGAGGAACTAGGAGGAACGTGCTTTTAGCTTTTCCAAAGGAGGGAATTTAGGTGTCATCTTTTAAATTTCGACTTCGCATTTTAAAGCATCCCTTTCTAATACAGAAGGTAGCATGTAAAGGCTTTGCAAAGGAAAATGGACCGATTCTGGAGCATTCACCCAACATACGACCTGCTGAGATTGCTGATATTCCATACTCCATAGTTTGTGCCGTCTCTTTAACAAGTGATAACAAGTGATGTTTACTTGTTTGTTTAAATACAAGCAACTTATACATTTGTCCTTATTCCCACCCAAACAGTTTTGGCCACATCTTCCTCCAGGACATTCGCGGTGGTACTGCACGAGGTGTTAATTCAGTTAAAGATCTGGGAACAAAAGAGTTCACGAGGACACGTGGAAGGTAAGGAATCTAAAACCGTTGTTTGCCGTTTTCTGAGACTGAGCTTCAGCGCGCTGCTCCGTGAATGTTTTGTGTAAACTTCTTGTGAACATCAGTTTAATAGGGAGTACGCGTAACCGTGCTCCAGATTCCAGGATCTTTCCTTTGCGGTCGGTGCGCGCTCGCTCGTCCGAGGGAGCTAGCGGTCTCCGGCTCCCAGAGGATGCTCTGGACGTGCGCGAGGCTGGGGTCAGGGTCGCCCGCACGCTCCAGGGCCGCGCCCTGCGCCCCGCTCCCCGCCCCGCGGAGGCCGGGCTCCCGGCGCGCTCCCCGAGGCAGGGGGTGGGGAGGAGCGGGGGAGACCGGACCCTGCGCGTTAGACCGCGCAGTCCCCTCACAACCTAGGAGACTTCACGGATCTTTTTCCCCTCTTTTCTGTTGGGGGATTCCGCCCAACGAGATGAAAAGCGCACGGTCTGTGGGTGTGGCTGCAGCTTGGTGTTTGGGGCGGCGGTGAGGCTGAGGAGTGCCGCTGTCTTTCTTTTCTCATCTCTTCCGTGCATGTCCGCGTCTTGGGGGCCCCCAGGTCCCACGGAGTAGAAATGACACAATACTGAAAGGAACACGGTAAGGCGCGCGAAAAAGCTCGGATGGAGGAGCCGGGGGTCGAACCCGGGGCCTCGTACATGCGAAGCACGCGCTCTACCACTGAGCTACACCCCCGCCTGGTCGCGGGCTCTGGGGATCACCCATAAATTTGAAGTCGTGTGTGTGGCTCGCGTTCTGTTTCTGTTGGAGAAACCAAATGTGTCCAGCGCGACTAGGTTTCGGGAAGCCCTTCTGTTGTCAGGTGGGACAGGTCGGTCGTGGAGTCTGAGCCTCTTCATGTGAGGTTTAAGAGTTTCATCAGTTCAAGGCCTGTTGACTCATTGTTTCCTTTTTCTTGTCCCTTATTTCCAGCGTTTACATGGAAGCTGCCGGGAGCTCTCCCCAGAGCGCGTTAGTGTGTGGTCCCGCACACGTCGCAGCCTGCTGCGGGCTCCGCTGGCCCCGGGAAGCAGCACTAGGGGAGGCGAGCCCAGGCTGCTGCGGGAGAGAGCCTTACCTGTGCACAGTGCCCTGATTGTCTCGCTCTGTCCTAGTCTAAGCAGCCGACTTCTTCGGAGGCTCTTTCAGGATCTACTAGATCCGTAAGACGATGAATTTAACAGTGAAAGGCACGGGAGAAATCTGAGGAACAAGGTAGACTGACACCGGGTTTGGGTTCTCATTGGAGTCTGACACTTAGTACTGAGGAAGACCTGCAGGTCGGTTGCACGGATGGTGATGACTTTTGCAAAGAATAGTAGATACAGGAGGAAGGGTGAGAGTTCTGCTCGGCTGACGTTGTTACTGGTTGGTTGATTTGTTTTTGCTTTGGGAGCATAGGTGAAGCAATAAGGGGGAAATATATAGTTTGGGTTTGGACATGACGTAACTTACGTGTCTGCACCATGGCCCCCTGAGGACGTCTACCTGGAGGCCATTACAGTCAGAGTCTGGAACCCTGCAGATATCTCTGAACCTGAATTTCTGACATGCATGTCAGAAATTTCTGACATGCATGCCTGGGAGGAGAGGGCATGTTAGAAGTGCGTGGAATAAGGGCTTAAAGTTCTCTATCAAAACTGGTAGATAAGGAACTTATTACTTTTTTTAAAAAATGAGAGTGCCTTAAAAAATGGTTCTTTATTTAAAAAAAAAAAAAAAAAAGAGTGCCTTGGTGGCTCAGTTGGTTAAGTGGGGCCTTCGGCTCAGGTCATGATCCCAGCATGGTGGGATCGAGTCCCACGTGGGGCTCTTTACTTGGCAGGGAGCCTGCTTCTACCTCTGTCTGCCTGTGCTCTCTCTCTTTCTGACAAATAAATAAAATCTTCAAAAAATTAATAAAAATGACAGTGCTTCTAGACTGATCTCATTTAAAAAAACATTTATACTCCTTGTTGTGGTCTTAACTTTTCCTTGGAACACCAGTCAAAGTCCTGTTTCCCACCATCAGCTTCCAGATAAGGTGATGATCTCTGCTTTGCCCCTCTTTGCCAATCTGTGACTATTTTAGTTATAGAATGCTATGTATCAAACTTCTCAAAACTGAGTGACTTTAAACAACTGTTAATTACATTTGCTCATAATTCCAGGCAGAAACTTGGGCCGGGCCTCCCCTGCTCTTTGGAGTTGGGGCTGTTCACTGCCCTTCACGGAGCTGGTAGTAGAGCTGGACTCGAAGGTCAGAAGAGCCTCCACTGCAGGGTATCGGCGCTACCCTGTGTGGCTTCCCAGTCACTTTGCCATTCCCGGTTCTAGCTCAGGCTTTCTCCTAGCCTGGCGATCCCAGATCCCATGCAGTCAGACTCCCACGGAGCGCCTGCAGAGAGGGGCTATTTCAAGAGAAACCAAAGCAGAAACTGCACTTACAGCATGTGTGCAAGGAAACAACATCGGTTCCTCTTGTCCCCAGAGGACCGCCTTTGAGCAGATATACTGTCCACAGGGAGAGTCTCCTGCCTCCAACACACTCGGAGTGCAGAACAGCTGTTCTCAACATTTCCTGTTTCTCAAAAGGAAACAGGAGCTGGCTGACTTCTTAGAAGCCAAGACTTCTCCATTATGTGGATTTATGTGCAAGCGAAGCGATCTCTACTGTGGGGGACGAACATTAATTTGTCTCCAAAATTAAAGCAGACCGATGATGGGATTTTCCTTACTTTGTCATTTTTCAGGTTCTTACAGGAAAAACAAAAGTCCGTGTTTGAATTCATGTGTTCTGTTTCTGGTATGTAATAAAGGATCCGGAGAGTCATTTGTCTGAGGCATTCAGCTTGCAGTCCAAAGTGTTTTCCAGACATAGCTGGACTCTCACATCACCTGATTTTTCTCATGCCCTTGTCTTTAGGATTAGCTTAAAGAAATCGCACTGGTCTCCCTCTCTCTCTCCCCTCTTCCACCTCTTCCCTCCCCTTCTCTCCTCCACTCATCCCTCCTCTCTCCCTCTCTCTTCCTCTTACTGTGGATCTTCCTTAAGTCCTATTGTAAAATGGTACTCCAGGTGACAAAACTGGTTGCATTTGCAGATGTCAAATAAGACTTTCTGTCTCCTTTCTTCCTTCTGATGTCACACCAATCACTTTTAAACAAAGAATTAGCAAAAAACAAAAACAGAAAAGAAGATTTGGCATGCCAGAAGGAGTGTACGGATGTGGAGCACATTGGTGATAGGAAAAAGAAGAAAGTGCCTTTGGAGGTGCTGGGTATCGAACCCAGGGCCTCATGCTTGCAAAGCATGCGCTCTACCACTGAGCTACACCCCCAGGCAGAGACTGTTTCTTCTGTGATATATTAGGAAATATGACTATCTTCTGTATTCTTTGGCAAGGCTGTGTGGTGTGTATGTCAGAAAATTTATTCTCTTAATGGTACTAGTTCTACAATTTCTAAATTGGATTTTTTTTTTTTTTGGCTAGACCCAATATAGTAAATTCTAAGTCCAAATTGATACCATTCCAGCTCCCAGGTTCTTCCCAGCTGGGGTTAGTCTTCTTTAAGAGCTTCTTACTATCCTAATGCCTGTATTTTGTCTTGTTTTGTTTTGTTTTTGACTACTATTCTCTGGAGAGTCTCAGGTTGGGAGTTTCACTTGTCTTCATTCTTTTTCTCTATGGTGTCTTTCTCCTCCACAGATCACTCTACCTAATCTGCACTGACCGTCTTGTCTGTACCCACCTCTTCAAGTGTCATTGGTCTGTGATTACTCTCTTCCTTCACTTTCTACATTGAACCTTGCCTTGCTCACCAGTCATCTTCAACACCAGGATATCTTCTCCAGAAAACCAAGGAAGCACTTTGACAGCCTATGTGCAGAATGAAAATGATTATTGCTTATTTCCAACTGTGCTGTGTCCCTCATTCCGTATCTTGAGAAATAGTCTTCACCCTGCGGACAGCTGGCAAATTTAGAAAAGAAAAAGGAAGGGGGAGGAAGGGAGTGGGGAGGGAGAGAAGTAGAGAGGAAGAAAATGTTTAAGTTCAATTTCCTTCCTTCTCCCTGCCTCTCCATTCCCAAGCAACCACTGACCTAATTCCCTGTCACTGTAGTTTAATTTGCATTTTCTGACGTTTTATACAAATGGAATCATATCATATTTACTTTTTCGGTTTTACTTCTTTCACTCATCATAATTGTCTTGAGATCACCCATGTTTAATGTATCAGTAGTTTATTCCATTTTGTGCTGAGTAGTACTCCGTGGCATGGACAGACCACAACTGGTTTATCCATTCACCCATTTATGGTAAGCCTTTGGGTTGTTTCCAGTTATTGGTGATTACAAATAAAACTGATGTGAATATTTGTATACAAGAATTTGTATGCGCATAACAGTTTTACTTCTTTTCCATTGGATACATACTTAGAATTTGCATGGCTGGATCATGGGGTTGGTACACCTACAACTTTTTAAGAAACTGTTAAACTGTTTCAAAGTAGTCCTCTATTTCATTACTGCTGATGGTGTATGAGAGTTTAATTTCCTCTGCATTCTTACCAACATATGGTATGGCTAGCGTTTTTAAATTTTAACAACTCTTATAACTGCAGAGGTCTATCATTATGGGCTTAATTTGTATTTCCTTAATGGCTGATGCTGTGCATCTTTTGTTTCTTTGCCGTCCTATATCTTCATTGACATCCTCTGCTTAAATATTCTGATATTTTATTTTATTATAAAAAACTTTATTCGTTTATTTGTCAGAGAGAGAGAGAGAGAGAGCACAAGCAGGCAGGAGCCAAGAAGAAAGAAGCAGAGAAAGAGCAGGAATCCCAATGTGGGCCTCGATCACAGGACTCTGGGATCATGACCTGGGCCAAAGGCAGCAGCCTAGCTGACTGAGCCACTCAGGCATCGCTATTTGGGTATTTTAAATCAGGTTTTCTTATTGTTGACTATTAAGAGCCCTTTATATATTCTAGCTGTAAATCCTCTATCAGATATATGGTTTGCAAAGGTTGTCTCCCAGTCTGTGACTTGCCTTTCTGTTCTTTTAAACATGCTTTGCACAGAGCAGGATTTAACATTTTTTGATGAGGTTAAATTTATATAATTTTATGCTTTCGTTGTCATATCTACAAAGTATTTGTCTGACCCAAGATCACAAAGATTTTCTCCTGTGCATGGGACCCCGCGAAATTTTTTCTTTGGTTTCCTTAATTTTCTGAGATGTATCTGGGTTAACTGGCAGGATGAGGAAGAGAGGAAAGGCTTTATGTTTTGGAACCCTATTACCTCTCTTGTGTCTTACTCCTCCACCTACCGTCCCCTGCTGCCAGGAACTGGGTCCAAGCACTATGGGTGGAAGATAATAGATGCCCCCAGTTTCTGGGTGGATAATGTGCTGGACGCTTCAACAGCAGCATTTGAAGAATCCGGAATCCCCTAAAATGGAAGACGAAAACAATCCCAAGTATTGAAAAATAAATATCGGAAAACACTACTTCCAGGCAGCCGAAATAGCTCAGTTGGGAGAGCGTTAGACTGAAGATCTAAAGGTCCCTGGTTCGATTCCGGGTTTCGGCAGGCGGAGTAGCTTTTGTCCACCTCAGAGACAGCTGGCCTGCCACCCCGAGACCTATTTTTGCCATCTTGAAACTCGACAATAATTACACCTTGAATTTGTGTTTTGTAATTGATGTTCAAGGGGACAGCCGAACAGGCATCTGAACAAAGGAAAGGAGGGCAGTGTGCGCGTCTGGCTTTCGTTGCTTTTCCTTCTGCAAACAGTGATCCCCAGCCCCCATGAATCTTGATGTGTGAAGTGAAGGTGAACAGTAACATTCCTGCTGATAATTTACAAGTGGAGTCCACTTAATTAGAATGACATTAAATCAGCAAGTGAAAAATAAATTAACAGGTCGAGAGAGACCAAGAAAGGGGAAAAAACTTTATATTTTATTACCACTTTTAAGGGCACTTTCCCTCTCCTTTAAAAATACATTCATTCATTCATTCGTTGGTTCGTTTGCTGGGTCACAGGGACAGCCAAGAGGGAGAGTCGATGTCACGGTGAAAGCCACAAACCTGCTTACACGTGCCCCCAAGAGCGACCGCATTATACCTCAGATTCTTACTGCACAAGAATCAAAGCGAGGCCTTGGCTCACCGAGGCAGAGATTCTGGATTTCCGTTAGCGCTCGGCCGGGGTCAGACCTGATTTTACACCCGCGGAGGGAGGGCCAAGTCTGATGCTGGGTGCAGCAGGAGGCGAAGACCCGTGCAGGGCCAAGCGGACAGTGGGCCGTAGACTTCTGTGCTGTTTAGGATGAGGGACCTTACATTTTCATTTGGCACCGCGCGCCCCCGCTGTAACCCGTGCAGATCACCGGCCATCAACATTCACATCTCTTGGATTCAGTACATCTACCCCATGGTCACTCCAGGCTCCGCACACACCCGCAGCTGAGTTATGATCTCCTGAGCACTGGCAAGTATCGTGTTAAAGTCACGTCCGCAGTTCCCCTCTGAACTTCAATGAGTCCATCTGTGAACTGTATGAACTCGGGGTTGGAATACCCGAGATAACATTGTCCGGAAAATCCCAAGGGAACTCGTGGTTTGTATGTACAAAAAGACGCATCAAGAAAACAGGGAAGCATGCTAGTGTCAACTTACTGCTCCTTGCCTTCGCAGCAGTTTTGCTTTGCGCAGCTACACCAGAATCAGTGCCATTTTGCAAGTCGGGGCTGGAGGGGTGAGGGTTGAGGAGTGTATGGAGGGAGCCCTATGGTCGAAATGGAAAGAGCAAGTCCAAGTTTAAGAAAACTGGCAAAACGCCTCCTTGATTAGCAAGAAGTACACACTCGTAGCAGCCCAGGCCCCACTGGGATTCGAACCCAGGATCTCCTGTTTACTAGACAGGCGCTTTAACCAGCTAAGCCACGGAGCCACGTCGGAGGGGCCCTGGAATTCCCGCATCCGAGGAGGATTTTGCCGCGCCGCTGTGTTTCTGAGCAGACCCGCCCCTTCTTGGCCCTTCTTTTGCCCAGAGCAACCCGGACGGGAGCAACCGTGGCCCGCACACCCGCCCAGTGGTCTTCTCGCCTTGCGCTGCACAACCTCGTGGCAGTTGGCTCGGATTCTCGATGCGGCCTCCGGGAAGCGCGCGCAGACGGAGGCCAGAGGTGGGCGGCGAGTCCCCAGGCCCCGCGGCGTCCCTGCGGACCAGGTCCTGCGCCTCCCGGCGTCCTGCGTCGTGGCGCGGGGCTCTTCCTCTGCTCCCGGGGTCCGAGCCGCCGCCACCAGCGCTCGGCGGGGCTGCAAGGGCGCGTCTGCAGAGCTGCCCCGGACCCAGGACCCCAGACCACCGGGAGCTAAACGGAGACGGGCGGGCGGGCAGTGCCACGGTCTTCTTTCGGCCCGGCAGGGTGGTCGGGAGCCCGGCAGCGGGCGTCTACCCCCTGGTGTTGAAAACCCCAGAGGAGACCCTCCCCGTCATCCTCGGCCGTTGTGGGGGGTCGTCTACCAGATGAAGACCGCACGCAGGAGGGAAGTGGCGGGCGCGTGTCCTCCTCCTGTCGCCTCCTCTCCCGTGAAGTTCGGCTGCGACGGGCGCTGCCGACTTGTCTGTCCTCACTCCGGGGGCAGCTGCTCTCCTGCGTGTTGGGAATGCTGTGACGAGTGTCCAGCCTGGCCATGTTCATGTAGATTGTTTTCCTTCAGCGAATGTGCGCCGTCCTTGGATTCCGTTTCTCGGCATTTTGGGAGATAATGAGAGACGAAAAGAAGAGGAAAAGGACGAACCTCAAGAAGTATTTCCTTTGGTTTCCTTTATTCTCCGAGCGGTGCCTGGGTCCGCTCACAGGATTCGGAGGAGAGAAAGGCTGCGGGGCTGGACCTCACTGCCGCGCCCCCCGCCCCCCTCCTCCGCCCGCCCCCGCCCGGGACATCGGCACCGCTGCCCTCCCCCGCCCCCTCTTCCACCTGCCACCCCCTGGCTCCAGGAACTGGACCAACCTGCGCCCACCGGGCCTCCGAGCCTGTCCGGGTCGGCACAGATACCGCACAGCCGGACAGTCACCCTTACGGCATCCAGAACCCCGAACGAAGGCTGAACCCCGTCCGCGGA